TATGTGGCAGGCACCAGGCTGGGCTCCAGCGGTTAAGTGGTGGGTATCATACCAACTCTGCCTGTGAGTGCCTCTATCCTGGAGGACAAAGAGATGGTGCTTACTCTATTCCAATATCATTAACACACTCAGTGATTGGAACCTGCCATGCGGGGTGTTCAGAAATTTAGCAGAGCAGAATCTGGATTCTGGATAGCAAATGAGACACAGTTTCCTAAGTTACAAGTTCCCTTAGAGTCAGTGTGTGACATGGTGCTGCCAAGTAATGAGGATTATTTATAATAAGTAGTAGTGCCCAGCTGGTAAGAAGGCTCCTGGTGATCCCCATGTCTTCGATCATTTGTGGGACACATGCCCTCAGAGGCTCCCAAATTCTGTACCGTGAGAATAAGTGTGAGATCTCTGCATCCTGCTTTCGGCAGCTATTGCCTTCCCAAGTCCTGCAGAATAAGGGTGGGCTAAGGCTGCCTGAGGGCACATGGCAGGCAGCCCGGGGCAGGGCAGACATTCTGCCATTGCTTCCCCAGCAGATGCCCACCTCTGCTAGCAGCTTGTCTTCTCTGCTCACACGAATGCCAGGCTTCCTTTCAATGTGAACACTTTGTCCTAGCATCCTGGCATCTCTCTCCCCTCTTCCTTTCTACCAGCAGTGGTCCCCACAGTAAGGAGCTCATAAAACGAGAAGGACAATGGAAGCAGACGGTGTATTTTGATGGGCAGGAGCACAAGGTTGGAAGCAAGACAGTCCTAGGCATGAAGCTTCACTTTGAGCATAAGAGCTGGACCCGCCAAACCTGCTTTTCTCATTTTATTTTTTTAGTGTGGCCAAACTTATCCAAAAAGGTGTTGGAAAGGTTGACTGGGACAATGTGTGCAAAGCGCGTAGCAGGGTGAGGACCTTCCACTTGGTGGTGGCCACTTGATCAGTGCTTGTAGCCTTGCTGTTGTTGAGAGAACAGGGATCACCCCCTTACAGCACATGCAGAGAGGTGATGAGTGCAAGCAGAAGGCTTGGTTTCCTCTTTTTATTTGTGTAAGATTTATTTATTTGTTGGAAAGGCAGAGTTATAGTGAGACACAGAGAGAGAGAGAGAGAGAGAGAGAGAGGTCTTCCATTCTCCCAAATGGAAGTCTTCACTCTGCAAATGGCCTTAATAGCCAGAGCTGGGCTGATCCAAAGTCAGGAGCCAGGAGCTTCTCCTGGGTTTCCCTTGTGGGTGCAGGGACCCAAGCATTTGGGCCATCTTCCACTGCTTTCCAAGCCGCATTAACAGGGAACTGGATCAGAAGAGGAGAAGCCAGGACTCAAACCGATGCCCATATGGGACGTTGGCACTGCAAAAAGTAGTTTAACCTGCTATGCCACAGTGCCATCCCCTTGGTTTCCTCTTGACATGCCATGATAACCCAACTGAAATATTTCAGACTTACTTCTTGCTATCTTGTACACTGGAAGGAAAACTTCCCAGCCTTAAATGGAATCAAGTTACTTCTTTTAAAAAAAATTAGAGGCAGATAGACAGAAAGAGAGGCCCCCCATTTGCTTTTTCACTCCCCAAATACTGAGACTGAGTTGGGCCAAAGGCAGGAGCCAGGGATGCAATTCAGGTCTTCCAAATGAGTGGCAGAAACCCAGTTACTTGAGCCTCCCAATTACAGTCACCTGCTGCCTCCCAGGGAAGCCAGGGCCAGGAGTCAGAGATGACCATCAAACTTAAGTACTCCAGTGTGGGAGGCCTCTTAACTGCTAGGCCAAATGCCTGCTCCTTCGAGTTCTTTTTTAAAAGGTTCACAAACTCAATAGGCCCTTAGTGACAAAATTAGAATATTTATGCATCTAGAGCAAAATTACCATTCAGGTGATTCTGAGAATACTCTTTCTTGCCTTCCAACTGCAAACTCTCATAATTAGATAAATGCAAGCTCAAATAACAGCTTCCTTTCAAACACATAATGTATTTGACATTTTGCTTTTTATATAATTGAAAGAGTGTAATATGCCAATCTATGCTCAAGCAAAAATGATACACAGTATCGATGCAAAACATGAAAGATGAACTCTAATTCTTTTTCTCTTGTTAATGAATATTGAACAAATAAATAGAGCATTTCAAGATCGAGGAATAGTATATGAGATCCCGTGTATTTATTTTCTTCATTACTCTAGCCACAATGTCACCCAAGAGTATCTGGGAGATGACAACCAGGCAATTAGACAACTGTGTCCAGGCTCTGGCCCTGCCAGAGTGAATCATGGCCCTTTCTCTGGCCGCCCCACGGCTGAACCCCTGTCCTTGGGGAACCCTGGGCTGTGGATGGCTTGGCAGTTGCTGTGACATGTACTCTTTCACATGCATGTGACATGCCCATGATTTGATACATCTGCTGTCCGCACAGCCATCCAAATGGCTTCATACTATCTGCAGACCTCACTTGGAGAAACCCAATAGTTGACATGAGAAGTTTTGTGTTTCACATGCAGATTATCATAAGAGCTTTGTCGTTGGAGGGTGAGCTGGGACATGGCGTCTCTAAACAGATGAAGGGAGCAGAACACCCATTTTTTAGCATTAATACATTGTTGGTGCTTTCACGAGTCGGGTTTCCAAACACGAATGCTTATGTGCTGCATTAAACAGAAGTAACCAGTGATTCCTGTTATGATTTCTGGAATTTCCAAACCCATGCTTCCCATCCTGGGTGTCTACATCTTCGTGAGTTACCTGCTGGTTGACTAAGAATAGCTGTGAAAGCTAAAAATAAAGACATAGATCTGACTAATAGTTAGCTGTTTTTAGGCATAGCTATTTTTCCTCATATGAAAGGATGTGACTTGGTGACTGATTCACTCTGAGGTCCAAGTGACACTACTATGGTGAGTGAAAAAAAAAACAGTGTAAAATGAATCCTTGTGTGCCTGCCTAACCATAGACCAGGCTGTGTTAAATTCATTTAACAGATAAAAACACGTATTGTTCATTTATTTTCTTCATCCTTCTTTTTTAAAAGATTTATTTATTTACTTGAAAGTCAGAGTTACACAGAGAGAGGAGAGGCAGAGAGAGAGAGAGAGAGAGAGAAGTCCTCCATCCGATGATTCACTCCCCAGATGGTTGCAACGGCCGGAGCTGCGTTGATCCAAAGCCAGGAGCCAGGAGCCTTCTCCAGGTCTCCCACATGGGTAGAGGGGCCCAGGGACCTGGGCCACTTTCAACTGCTTTCCCAGGCCACAGCAGAGAGCTGGATCGGAAGTGGAGCAGCTGGGTCTCGAACCAGCGCCCACATGGGATGCCGGTGCTTCAGGCCAAGGCGTTAACCTGCTGTACCACAGCACCAGCCCCTTCTTCATCCTTAATCAGTTTCTTACATAGGAATCCTATTGGGAGTGTGTTCCTATCATGTTCAGTGCTGTAACTTTCCATATATGCACAAAATGTGACATTGTCAATAAAGACATTGATGAGGTTGTATTTACCAGATATCCAACGTGGCCCCTGTGCAGGGTTTTCACATTTTTAATTCATAAGAAGCTTAGAGTTTCCAGTGGATTGTTAAGGTGCATCAGCTTTCGAACCCTCAGGTTGGTGGTCCCATTTATTTTGGTCTTAATGACTGATCAGGTAACTGATTGGCTCTGTCAAGACCCTCAGCCAACACCGTGGGAAGGAGAGCCCCCGACTCATCACACAGCCCAGGAATCACTGGAAAGATGTTGGCTCCGGTCACCTTCTGCCCACCCAGTGTTCTCTCATTCTCCATCTTCCAGTGACAAGACTCTTTCGTGCTTGACTCAGAAAATGACACAGACTTGTCGCTGCATAAAACAGCAAGCCTACCCATGTGTGTGAGAATTTTAACAAGAGCAGATCCTACCATGTTACATAAACAGGGTCTTCTTGTTTCTTACTTGGAAGGGGATACGCAGTGAGCCCTAGTAGAAAGGCAAAAAGGCATGCGTGGACTTCTGTGGACAGAGGTTGGGATGGGATTCTACCCGCACCAGCTGGGTGGCCTCCGGCAAGCTGCTCAGTGTTCTGTGTCCCAGGATCCCCCTGGTAAAGTGGGAATGAGAAACAGTGCTAACCTCATTCAGTGCTCCTGAGATCTAGGTAAGGTTTCTGGCACTCTGCCTAATAGGTGAGGGTTGTTCAAAAAGTTAATGGAAGATGAAATTCAAAGATGAATTCATTTGCGTCCAAAAAGTTTTTTTTAAGGTTTTATTTATTTATTTGAGAAAAAGGGAGATCTTCAATCTGCTGGTTTACTCCCCAGATGGCTAGGGCTGTGCTAGGCTAATGCCAGGAGCCAGGAACTCCATCCAGGTCTCCCACATGGGTGCAGGGGCACAAGGACTTGGACCATCTTCCACTGCTTTCCCAGGAGGGTTGGCAGGAAGCTGGATCAGAAGTGAAGCAACTGGGACTCGAATTGGTGCCCATATGGGATGCCAGCATTGCAGGAGCTGGCTTAATCCACTGGGCCCAATACCAGCAATGCAAAAAAAAAAATTTGAAATCCAAGCATGCCAGGGGTCTTCAACAAATTTATAGAAAATATATACTATGAAAAAAACTATGCATGGATTTCAAACGAAGCTTACTTTAAATTCTATTTTCCCACAAACTTTCTGAAGTACCCTCACACAATAGTGTTCAATAAATAGCTAGTCTGCCATTAAAACTTCAAATAAGCACAAAAGTTGGAGAAAAATTATTTTAAGTGAAAAAAAAAAGTCGAAGACAAATGTATTGAAGCATAGGACCAATTTATAGGAGTTATGTGACCTTGTGAGATAAATTCATTTAGTCTTTTTTTTTCCAAACTAGTAGAAGAAACCAATTCTCCAAGGTGACCAATCCCTGAAAGACAGGTGTTGACATCAGATTTGGGAGTAGTCAGCTGGCAGCTCAGATGTGCACCTGCTGGGCAATCACAGCAGAATCCGCCCCCCCCCCCCCCCCGAGCTGCTCTAGTGCCTGCTGTTTTTAGGTCACATGGATAAGGAAAGCAATTGGCGAGGGCCATATTTGCAGCATCCACTATGTTCAGAGTCCTTCGAGGAAGGAAATGTTTAAAAAGCATGGATAGACCACATCTCCCCACTTCCGAAAGCTCAGTCTCTGAACCCTGTGTGCCTCTTCCATCTCCGCAGCAGAAGTGCTGTTGACTCTGCTGTTCCACGTCTGTTCAGGCCACGGTAACAAAATACTGTAGCCAGGTGGCTCATGAACAACAGAAGTGTATTTCTCACAGTTCTGGGAACTGGGAAGTCCAAGGTCATGGTGCTAGAAGATTGACTGTCCAGAGAGGGTCTGCTTCCTGGTTCATAGTCAGAGCCTTCGTGCTGTGTCCTCACATGGTAGAAGGGGTGGGAGAGCTCTCTCCGGCTTCTCTTTTATAAGACCACCAATCCTTTCCCAAAGACCCGGCCTCCCAACACAGTCACACTGGTGATTAGGTCTCAAGATATGAATCTGGGGGAGACACAAGCATTCAGATTATAGCAGGCACTGAGCAGAAACACTGCCCAGGATAGGGCTTGCTATGGAAGACAAGGTCAGCGGGAGTCTAGGGGGCCTGGGGGAATAGCAGGCACTCTGGCAGTGCAGCTGTGCCAGAGATCTCCTGTAGCCCCTGCACTGGTTCTCTCTTTAACAAGACTGGAGCCGTTCTCTACTGAGCACACACCGTTTCTTTGATATGCATACATATAAAGGCAAATTTTAAAAGATTCTATTTATTTATTTGAAAGGCAGAGTTACAAAGAAAGCAAGGGAGAGAGAGAGAGAAAGAGAGAGAGAGAGAGAATGAATTGAGATCTTCCATCCACTGCTTCATTCCCCAAATGGCCACGATGACCAGGTCTGGGCCAGGCTGAAACCAGGAACCTGAAACTTCATCTGGGTCTCCCACATGGGTACAGAGGCCCAAGCACCTGGGCCATCTTCCACTGCTTTCCCAGGCACAATAGTAGGAAGCTGGATTAGAAATGGAGCAGCCAGAATTTGAATTGGCGCCTGAATGGGAAGAGGCAGGAAGAGGCTTAGACCTGCTGCACCATGGCGCTGGCTCCAAAGCATATACACCAGCTGCATATCAGCCCTGTTTCACCGCGCCTGCACCTTACTCATCCTCTTTAGATGAGCTAAAGTGGAAATTTTCTCCTCCCTTCCCCCCAGAATGAGCCTACATCCATTAAACATTTCATTCTATAAATTCTATACAGTCATGATACCTGGTTGTATGTCATGATTTTCTTTTCTGTTGTTGTTGTTCTTATTTGAGGTTGGAGAGCTTGTCCTCAAAATTAGTAGAAGAAATGCAGAGAACAGACAGCAAGTCCTGTATAATGTAGTTTTTCACCTTGGATAAACTGTGTATCACATTGGGCAGTATTGATGTCTTTGCTATGATTATAGCTGCCTTTTAAGCAGTTGGCCTAGTCTGGAATGTTGGTCTGTGTAATAAAAGTTTTCAGCCCTAAGTGTATTGCCTCACCTATCCATGGTTGGATAAATCGACATTCTTCATCTTGCATTGACGCATGCCAGTGTTATTTCGTTGGGGGGCATATATCTGTCTACTGTCTTATTACTCATTTATTCAAGGAAAAAATGGTGAACATTATCGGGCTTCAAATCAAAACTAGTGACCATTTCTTTAACTGTTGGCAGTCCAGTATTTAAGGCAGACATTCTTTTTAAAAGAGTGATCTTACTTCTTTTTCTTTGTACCAGTAGGCATTACTTTGTTGTTTTTTTTTTATTCAACCAGAAATATAAATCTTGATTGCATCTTAGTGGAGTAAGATCAGCTCACTTGGGACTTTGTTTAGGATGAACAAAGCTGAAATGAAAGCTCCTTTGATTTGAGGGCAAACAAGCAAGTATTTCACCAACTCTTGGCGACTCTCACCATCTGACCTTAATTACTTCATCAGTAGGGGAGGGTGTCACCGTGAAAACAAAGGGACACACACACACACACAGACACACATCTTCCTTCCTCCCTAGTACCCCAAAACTAAGCATTCATACGTAGACTGTATCAACAGTGTGATAGACTGCTATCTTAACACCACTCCAAGAGAGCAAACCCCTCTTCTAACACGCGTCATTAAATCTTTCAGTGCATTTCTCTCGCCCCCATTCCTGCTATTTTTGAGACGCTCAGAAGAAACAGTTATTATTTATGCAGGGTTTGTGCTCCCTCTGCTGGTTCTGTAATTAACTAATAAGTCTAATTCCCATAACTATGCTGATGTCATTGATTATTTTTGTGCATGGACATGGAATTACCCAAATCAGCATGTTCTGTTCAAACATCATCAGGAAAATTAGCAGGGGTTCCGAGGAGGCCAGTTGGCCTCATGAAGAAAATGTACATTGGACTTGGCTGAATCTGTGTTTGAAAACCTTAAGTGTAGTTTTATGCTTTTATTTGCTTGGTGTCAGAGAAAAACAATCCATCATTGTTTAAACTGGAATATTACTCCTACCCTCTCAGAGGATTTTGCAAATATTTTTCATCCTGAGAACAAGATTTATTATAATTTTTGTTTTGCAGGCGTGAAACATAGAAGCTCAGAAATGATATAAGCCTTGGTACCCAGAGCTCCTGCAGGCTAACGAAGTAGAATCTATAGGGCGGTATCTCGTGGCCAGGGCCTTTACTTGCTGGATCTGAAATATCCTTCTTTTTAAGTGTTGCTGTCTCGGTGTGGCCATTTCTTTGCATGGCAATAGGCGCATGTAGAGCACAGCTCTACAGTTGGGTTGGTTGAGGTTTAATTCTGATTCCAGCACTTCCTGGATGATCCTGGGTAGGCTCCCTTACCTACTAGACCTTTCTTGTCCACAAACTGGACATAACGTGATGGGCAAGACCTCTTGGAGTTATTATAAGAATCAAATGCAATAATGTACAGTGCAGAGCACTTGAAGTATACAGATGATGATCTGAAATAGTCTTTTGTCATAACTCATGGCAATTCTTTTTTCAACAGGAAAGCAGCTTCTTATCTTGATAATAAAAAACTAAAACTTACTGTGAAAACTGGGAGGGCATCTCTCAGATGAGAAGGGTTCAATTCACCAAGAAGATACATACACTACTAAACAAATAGCTTGATAGGAGATGCAGAATTGGATGGAATTTCAGGAGAGATCAGCCAAAAGAATGTAGACATTCAAGACACAGCTCCTAGACACACTAAGCCAATCTGACCAAAATGTCAGTGCCAAAAATATGGCATCCTGATAATAAAGAATATAGTTAAAGTTGGTCACTATTCCAATATGCAGGGAAAAGACTTGAGAAAGCACCTTCCAGAGGTTATGCATTCATTTATTCATTCTGCCTTAAAACCCACCTAATTTGTTATTCATTAAGTAACACACACTTTCCCAGCTTGCTCTGGAACCTCCTTTTTCTCAGTCAACACCAGATTCTGGCTGTCCTTCTGTGATTGTGGTCAATATTATTCTTGGCCTGCCTGAGTCTGTCACCTTTAGTGTTTATAGATACCACTACACCCGCACTACAGTAACACGCTGGGCAAAGCAGACAGAGAGATAACTGCAGTCAGGATGGGCTCCATGTCTTGTGACCGTCCCCAAGCCAGGTGCAGTAACTCTTGGCTGAGCCGGGTCAGCCCTCTTTGCATGACCTGATGAGAGAGGGTTCCATTGCTGAGGGGCCTTAGGAAGGGAAAAGAAAGAGGCAAGCAGGTCTCCACGCTGAGTCTCTCGGAGCTGGCTCTTGTGGTCTTGCCTGAGGTTCCTCCAGCTTGTGTACATGGTGGTAATTTCAGCCGTGTGAAACGTACGTGCCTGTGGGAGGAAGCCCAGGCTTACTGGCCTGCCCAAGGAACACTCCCATTATGTTTGCTTTCCAGCTGTTTTAAAATGGGGACCCTTGTGGTGGAGTTGCTTGCTGTGATCTGATTATTTAACTTCTAATTTTTACCTGTGCTTTTCACAGGCCTGCCCTCTGCCATGGAAACATTTGGAACTTATACTTTAAACAGTGGAGGCCACTTTGGTTGTTGATTTAAAACATGCTAGAGGTTTCATAATGGTTATTAATGTTGGCCAGCACTGACCCCTGTGCAAATAACCTGTTGATGTTGGACAAGGATGAGAGGCACTGAACACAATGCAGGAAATGGAAAGAGATCAGAAAGAAAAGAGTCTTATTAGCTTAGTCACAATGCTTCGTGGCTTAACATGGAGATCAATTATCTGTGCTTAAGAGGTATCCAGACTCGCATTATTTGGCCAACTCGTGGAAATTAGGCATTCTCTTCAGGGAAATTTCAGAGGGGTTTTCAAACTGTGTTTTGCTTTGCAATTTCAACATTGTTGATTTTATAAAATCACTGTAGATCATATAAAATCAGATGTAAATGTATATGTACTTAAAGCAGGAAAAAATTATTATGCCCTTTTGGAAGCATAGTGGCCATTGTGTGAGCCATGCATTCTGTCCGGTAAGTCCATTTCTGTAGACTGTTCAAAAATTGGCAGGGAGTTCACTCGTTGGCCTGCTGTGGAAAGAGGAAACTAGCATACTTCTTCCCAACTGTTTTTTTTTTCATCATCGGACTCCCTTTCCTTCATTTGTTCGATGACCAAGTGTCAGTTTGTTCCTTGCCCATACCCTGTGTCGTTTCTCAGTGTACAAATGGCAGCTATGAGACAGGAGAACACGCATGTTTGACAGCTGCCCCATAAATTATGCAGAAGAACAAGTTAAGGACAACTGCAGTGGACTTTTTAAAAAGCAGATCCGTGGCTGGGTCAAGAATTTCCTTTGGAAAGCTCGCTTGCTTTGTTGGCACCAGCCATTGCTTCATGAATATCTTATCAACTAAAATTATTCAACTGTATCCATTTAGTATAGTGTTAGCATGGTTTGGGGGATAGTGTCAGAGTGAACTCAAAACTTAGAACCAAGTAAAATGTTGTGCTCTGCAAAACAGAGGCAAAAGGCAATACATGTATGCTTTGGAATCCCAAGCATTAAATCAATGCATGAACAACACCAGTTGGGATCGGGGGAAGATGATCTTAGAAGCCTGGCCCAGCTGGAACTGACCTGGTCATGCATTTTGTTTTCTGTGAGCATAGAGTTCCTAGCACATGCCCCTGCCTTCAGTGAAATTACAGAGAGAGAGAGAGAGAGAGGCAAATTTCCATAAAATTACCTTTGCAAAGTTAGTGTATATTCCCATGCCGGTTTTGGAGAATGACATATGGCAGCTGCTTTATGGTTTCTTGGAGGAAAAAAAACAAAACAAAACAAAACAAAACAAAGGACTGCCCTCATGTTGGTAGCAGAGAAAGGAAGTGTGTTTGTGACTGACGTCTAAGTCTTTCCTGCCTCCGCCACTGCAGCACAGAACCTCCAGCACCAACCTACCACGTGAACTTTTTGCTTGCAGTTGTCTGCCCCTCATCCTACCCCAAGAGTGTACGTCTGGGGAGTGATGGCTGGAAACTAAGACTTCCCAAGGGATTATTTGTCCTCTGTACATGGGACTCAGCGTTGAGGCCCATGCTGCCGTCCGTGGCCCAAGCAGCCGGGTTAGCTGGCCGTAAAAACATGGCGGGGTATTTCTGGCATACGCTGGTGATGAGCTGGTTCTGTCTGGCTGCCCCAGTTTTCTCTCGGCAGCCACTGTTCATTCCAGCAATGGATTCCTGTTGCTTCAGAGGACTGAATTCCAAATAAACAACGTGAATATGTTTATCTTCAAATCTCTGTTTATAGGGCTGTGAGTGTGTGTGTGTGTGTGTGTGTGTGTGATGAGAAGCTTGAGTATCTGTGGGACTCAATAAAGAGAAAGCTGATGACCTAATGCATAATATTAAATGATTATGACATGAGCGACAGTTACCTGGCGTCAGCAAGCTGGTAGTTATTTTAAGGAAGGGAAATGGTGTTTTAACACAAGTAGGCAGGTGTGCTTGGGAAGGAAAGAGAGTTTCGCTCATCAAGTAGCATTTAGGTAGGTAATTGGCAGCTCAGCTCTTTTTTGAAAGTGATTTTGCTTTCATATTTTTCTCCCATTTATTTACAGTCTTGAGTGACCCTGTTTGGTTCTTCGTTGCACCATGACCGAAGTGACAGACTTTGGTCTCTGTTGGATTAATCAGTGTGTTCTTTGATCCATGGCATATGTTCCCCACAGACATTTAAAGTCAACATATTCAGCATCCCGGGTCTGGCGGCTCAGGATTGTTAACTGAGCTGATAGACTGGTTTGAGTATTTGCATCCAAAACACTCCTCCCCGTGCACACATCCACTCCCAACAACACAAATATTGACTGTCCCAATCATTCATTAGCAGTTAAAAATTTGAGAGCAATTATTTTTTTACTACGCTTGCCTTGAAAGACACCATTAATTACATTGATTGCCTGTGGATCGCGGCCAGTTTCGGTGTCCCGGGAGCTCGCACCTCACCCAGAGATGTACCTGCAGCTCCGAGGAACGCGGCCCGGGAGTCATCCGGGCAAGCCACGCGCTGATACTGCTGCCTGAAGTGAGATGCCGAGCCCCTACCTGCCGCGGCGATCCACTCCTCCCGACTTGGAGCGCGTGTGGGTTGGGATTGGCTGCTGCGGTAGGTTACCCCCGAGGCCTCAACTCCGCCGTCAGTGGTGGTGGTGGGGGGGGTGAAATCTGGACCGTGTCAGCTTGGCTTTTCCTTTTGTTCTTTTTGCAAACGCATGAGATGTTCCAAATCACCCTAGAGAAAATTACCAGAAGGCAGAGCGATTCTGGTCATTGGCCCTGACGCTCTCACCCCAAAGGACCAGAAAGCATCTTGGGTCCTGGTGGAGAGCCCTGGCCAGGCTTGCCTCTGCAGCTTGCAGGCGGATCATCCACAGGTGGGCTTGGCCCCAGAGAGGAGTCTCAGCAGCAGCTGTGGCATGGTTTCCTCCTCCTCCATCTCTAGTTAGCAGGAGCTCGTAAAAGTCTTCTGGAAGGTGTATGTTTATTGGAGGTGGGCCATTCCTTTATTAAAAAGTGTGCTGATTCTATGTGTGGCATGTCCCCCTCCTAGAAGCAAAAATGAGCCAGGATGTATTAATGTGTCTGCTCAAGATGGGCCCCCATATCCACTACCTGCACTGCACAGCTCCAGTCTCCTGTGTTCCTTAGCACCCGTGAGAAGGCTGCCTCTCCTCTCTGCGTCTCTTAGCCATGTCACCCTCTTTAATATAGGTTGAAAGAACTTCACAGTAAGTTTAACAAGGGCTTAAGAATGTTTAATAAGCTCTATGGGATAAAGAAGAATTGCTCCTGGGAGGGTTTATGGGGATATACGGCTTGTCAATCAGGACAGAGTGGAATAGACTTAAACTGTGAGAAGTAAGACTGTCTCGTGTTCAATAGAAAAATATTGTAGGAAACCTTTCCTTGAAGTCAATGTTGTTAGAACCTGCAGTGGCACTGGGTTTGACTTACATTCGTCCTTTGAAGGTCTTCAGTTCCTAAAAAGTGAGCTCAACATGCAGGAAAGGACTTGGGCCATTTGGTGCCTCCCATGGACCCTTGCCGTCCTTACCACCCTCCAGGGGGAGCTACTCAGAGTTTGTCTTGTGCAACTGTTGGCGGCCAGAGTGTGGGTTGGGATTAGACACCATGGAGGGGCTGGTTTTGCTTTTGGAGCCAATTGCCTAAGAAACCTTTTTTATTTTTCAATCAGTGGACATCACTGTAAGGAAAGGACTAGATTCTTTTGTAGTCTATGCGAGATAAAGAAAAGCCCAGGTGGCCACATTGCGACAGTTTAGCTAAGTGACTGATTCTAGCCTGTTTTGATTAAATTACATATTCAGTTATTTTTGTTTGAAATTAAAGGCTTGATTCTATTACCGAATGCTGTGTAATTTTACACATGTCGTTCACTTAGTTAACAATGAGACATGGAGCATGATTAACAATGTGGCTGCCAGTGGAAAGCAAAATAATTATTTTTTCAATATACAAGTCCTCATCATGATTCAGAAATCAATATGCACCCGTGGAGGATTTGCACTCCCTGTGGGTTACAGACTTCGGGTGGCCTCTCCTCATTTCCCTATGAATGGAAAACCAGGAGCCTTTGCTTTGCCAGGCCGGGTTTTTATTTGTCTCTCTCTTTTTAAAGACCGATGTTTAACTACAACCACTGGGACCTAAATCAGAGCATCTAGTGCCCAAATATGAATATTAATCAGATGCCAGGCCATGGAGTTCCTCGCCGAGTTTGACAGTTTAAAGGATCAGTTAGTTAATTAGGAGATGACACGGCACGCCAGGTCCCAGGGCTCTGTCCTGCCTTCCGTCTCTTCTTTTCATTTTCCTTTTTGACAAGTTGGATTACATCATTACTTGTAGTTTCACTTGTTAGCCCCACCATGAAATGAGAATATGTTAAGCTTTAATTATCCGTGATTTCTCTGCCCGTCTCTGCAAAGACCAGCCTGAAATGAAACTCAAAGAAACATAGAAGAACTGGAGGTTCAAAGGCCTGTGGAAATCAGCCACACCGCCTTGCCGTGTGAAGGCAATGCTTTTGAATAGCACTGGAAGCTGAGCTGGGCAGACGTGGTGATGGTCGTACAGATAAAGCTGCCTGTTCTGACTTTCGTGCCCCGTCTGTGGACATACCGCATCGGCTGTATTCATGGCTGTATTCATTGCGGCCATCTGGGAAGTGAACCAGTGGATGGAAGGTCTCTGTCTGTCTTTCCCTTTCTCTCTGGAACTCTGATTTTCAAATAAATAAGTAAATCTTTTTTAAAAATCTATAATCTACTCTCATTAATCTTTATGAGAGTTTTGTGTGATTGAAAGAGTAAACAGTAACAGAAAGAACCATGCCAAGTCACTAGGTCACAGGCTAAAGAGGCTGAGCTGGGATTTGCCATGAGGCCGGCTGACCCCAGAACCCCTCACTCTACAGAGTCTCACATGGGTGATGAGAGAAAGGAGTGTTTTGGATGTCACAGGGCACATTTTAAAAGATTTGTGTGTTTGTTTATTGGAAAGGCAGAGTGACAGAGAAAAAGAATCTTCCATCCACTGGTTCACTCCCCCACAGATGGGGCTGAGCCAGGCTGAAGCCAGGAGCCAGGAACTCCATCTGGGTCTCCTACTATACGGAAGGATCCCAAGTGCTCAGGCCATCATGCTGCCTTCAGATGCCCATGGATTGGAAGTGGAGCAACCAGGAGAGCTGGATTGCAAATGGAGAAGCCGGGACTAGAACAGACACTCAGATGTGGGATGCCAGCATCCCAAGCCACAGCTTAACAAGCCATGCCACAAGGCCAGTCCATCAGAGAATATTTCTTCTTTTTTTTTAAGAATTATTTTATTTATTTGGAAGAGTTAGAGAGCGAGAGCGAGAACGAGAGCGAGAGGTCTTCCATTCCACTGGTTCACACCCCAAATGACTGCAATGGCCAGAGCTGTGCACATCCAAAGCCGGGAGCCAGGAGCTTCTTCCGGGTCTCCCAGGCAGGTGCAGGGGCCCAAGGACTTGGGCCATCTTCTACTGCTTTCCCAGGCTGTAGCAGAGAGCTGGATTGGAAGAGGAGCAGCTGAGACTCAAACCATCGCCCATATGGGATGCTGGCACTGCAGGCTGGGGCTTAAACCCACTGTACCACAGCACTGGCCCCCAGAGAACATTTCTAACAAGCTGCACTCCTGTAGACAGTACACACAGAAAGAAGGAAGGCTAGAAGGAGAAAACCAATACCCCTGAGAGGTACTGTGCTGAGTACTGAAAGGCAGTGATAGGATGTATCCACCTGCATGTAGAAGGCAGCAGGGGGCGAAAGGAGCCAACGTGGAGATGAGGACCACAGACCGGGATGACCAGGGAGGGACTAAGAAGCAATGGGTCATGAGCAGGAGCAGATGTTCTAGTGGGAAGTCAAAGAATGTGCTGACATTGGGGAAAATTGACTTTGACCTAGCATCCAGAAGGCTGGGACCACATCTCAGGTCTGACCCTAAGCATCAGGGCTCCCTCTGCTGCCGTCTTTTTGGACCACAATTGCTTTATCTCCAAAGACGGTGCATGATCACGGCGCTCTTGCTTAGATAGTTTGCATCAGCAGGCTCTTGGTTGTGACTTCAAGAAGTTGTTATGACCTTAGACGGGTTAGTTTCAGTAGAGTATGTTTGGCCATGGGGGAAGGGCTGGGGATAAGACAAACCAAACCGCATGGGTTGAGGTGGAAAAGAAGAGACGCTGAGTGCAGACTATTCAATCAAGAAACACAGCAGTGAACGAAGGAGGGATAGATTGGGGCTGGCAGATGTGAGTCTGTAGAATGTCTCTAGAAACATCTGCAGGCCCCGGGAGGGAGAAGAAGAGCAGCAGGAGGCTCACGCAGGCAGCAGCCGAGGAGGGCCGCCGCCAGGGACATGCAGACCTGCCGCAGAGGTCTCTGACTCCTGTGAACTGGGGGGAGCCGGGCAGTGGAAGGGAGGAGAGGGCAAGCTTTGGCCCATTAATTAGGGCACAGACTTTGCTTCTCCATCAGTGGAAGTCATCTGGAGAGAGGAGTTAGCAGACAAAGTATATGGGTTGCAAAATAACCTGTGTATTTTCAAGAGGTCAGCAAGAAGCAGAGGGAAGACAGCTCCCATGGATCTGAGCTGGTCAGGATTGTTTCCATTGCTGTTCTGTCGCTATCATCAGACCAGAGAGGGCAGGAGCTGGGGGTCATCTCATCTCTGGCATTGCCAAGATGGGGAACATAGAATGCACACATCAAGAAGGCAACTCAGGGGCGGTGTTTAGCCTGGGGGTTATGCCACCTGTTAAAACTCACATCTTAGATCACAGTGCTGGAACCCATCCTGACTCCAGCTTCCTACTAATGCCAAGCCCGGGGAGGCAGCAGAGGAGAGCCAAGTATTTGAGTCTCTGCCACTCGCATAGGAGACCTGGATCAAGTTCCCAGCTCCCAAGTCCCAGCTGTCGACCTCCATCCATCAGCTCCCAGCTATTACAGGCATTTGGGGAGTGACGCACTGGACGGCAGCTCTCAAAGAAATTTTTAAGAGAGTGCAACTCAAACTTAGTGAAAGCCTGCCTTCTTGGTGTGATACAACTTCGTAGTTCAAAAAAGAGCTTGAGGGGCTGGCACTGTGGTATAGTTGATAAAGCCACCACCTGCAGTGCCAGCATCCCATATAAGCACTGGTTCAAGTCCCACTGCTCCATTTCCCGATCCGGCTCTCTGCTATGGCCTGGGAAAGCAGTAGAAGATGGCCCAAGTGCTTGGGCCCCTGCACCTACATGGGAGACCGGGAAGAAGCTCCTGGCTCCTGGCTTCAGATCGGTGCAGCTCCAGCCATTGTGGCCAACTGGGGAGTGAACCATCGGATGGAAGACTTCACTCTCTCTCTCTGCCTCTCCTTCTCTCTCTGTGTAACTCTGACTGTCAAATAAATAAATAAATCTTTAAAAGAATTTTTAAAAAAGAGTTTGCACAGAAAAGTGCTCAGTTCTTCATTCTTCTGTTTCTCTGGCTTGGGAAAGTTTCATGTCACCAACAGTCTATTTAAACTCTCTCCAGCTTCACGGGGCCATGTACATGTAGCAGACAAATG